GAATTCCCCAGCCAGCTTTGCTGGCTGGGGAATTCTGGGAGTTGAAGTCCTCCAGGCTTAAAGTTGCCAAGGTTGGACACCCTTGCTCTATACTGTAGGCAACTCCTTAGACCAGGAGGTGGGATTAAAATCGTTTTACCACTGGTTTGGTGGGCATGGCTTGGTGGGTGTGCTTTGCCTTACGCGCACAGCTTTCCACACACCAGCTGAGGCCTGCAGCGCCAATCAGCTGAGAGAATAAAGAAGAGAAACACATGGGGGTTGGTGGGAGGGCCGATCCTGCTTTTCTCTCCTTTCTCCTCTCAGATGATCATCGGAGGCTTATTTTACTACCAGATCAGCCAAACCGCTCCAAACCGGTAACATACCACCAACTGCCTTAGACATGCAGCAGTTGTTCATCATAATAATTAACATTCTTCTGGAAGATATCATTTGGTTTCCTATAATCAGAGCAATCAAGAGGCTAAGTATAAGACAGAGTTAAAACCAAAGGGGGCTATTTCTGAGACAATATGACAACTAGTCATATTGTCAATGATATAAGGAAGGTTAGAGGAATACATAGTTCAACAGAGCTCTGGGAATATGGTCGGAATTTGATGAGAATTTGGCTGAAGAAATTAAACCGAGCAAATCCTTCAGAGAATTAGGGAAAGTGACACGGATCAGTTCACAAAGGTACCAGCCTTAGTCCTCAGCAAATCCTGGTAACAGAAGGAAAGATTCATGTCTGAAAAACTGAATTGTTGCTGAATATCTGCTTGGAAATCCTAGTCTGTGGAGACAACTAATAAAGGCAATTAAGATAAGCCTGTTGAGCAAAGACATTCTTCATGTTGACTCTAAGGTTGCCTTTTGCTTGCTCTTCATATTTCAGATGATAAATCAGGACAGCTAACAGTACATCACAATTGGGTTCCATCTGGTAAGATTGGGAAATGATTGTTTCCGTAAGTTACTCTGAGAAGTCCTGTAAATTTCACCAGAAATAGCATCCTTCTTTCTCCGGCTTGCCTATTCCTGCTTCCAATCAAGAAATGTGAAAGCCTTTTGTACATCTTTGTTAAATGTACCTAGTTGTTAATTAAACCAAAGACCTATGTTGCAATTTCATGCGTGCTTGTAAGGCTACAAGTCCTGAATGAAACCAATGAGATTGGGTTCGGAATGAGCGGTGCACAAGATGGGGTCCCATTTCAAATGCCTGCATAAATCAAATAAACATAATGGCAGAGTGGTCTCCTTTGAGTCCTGTGCAGACCCTGACAACTTCGTAGACGTGTCTACGCTCCTTTTCTTAGCAACAACATTGAACCGGTTTTTCATTATCTCCTTCCAGTATGATATTTTATCTTCTAAAACCATATCCCTTACATTTCCTGATGGTTTCCCAACCCAAAACGATGAGTCTGGACTTGCTTAACGTTTGTAAGGTTTGTAAGGTTAGCAACTGCAGCAACCTGTATTCCTGGCATTTTCCCATAAACCATTTCATTTACCCAGACTCCCCCTTCACCCCCAAGTTCTCAACAAATTATTACCGTAAACAATGATTGTGGCTGTGGTGCTCCGCCGTTTGGCAACAATGTTTTTTGCCACGCAGGTGTAGTTGCCCGTATCGGACAGCCTAGCCTGCTTGATGATAAGATTGTTATCTATGGTTATCAGGAAGTTTGTGTCCTGAGAAGCATCAATCACATCCTCGTTCTTCAGCCACTCTACCTATATTAAGTTTCGGAAAGAGAAAAAGGAAAATGAGATGATAAAAGGTTGGGGCAGGCAGAAAACAAAAGAAAAAACCGTCAATTCTGAAGCGAACCTGGCATCTTTTGCTGACTCATAGTTGGCATGAAGCCTGAGAGGGGGAAGGGGGGGAAGGAAGTAGATAGACCCGGCAATGGTCAAAACAAAAGGGTTTCCTGTGGGAACCAAGGTCATCTCCACAGGTGGCTGCTGAAGGAGGAGAGGAGGGACCAAGCAGCCTGCCAGCTATTTTGTTTGTTTGTTTATTTATTTATTTAAATTATAAGAATACAACATGGTGCAGCTGATCTGGCATTACAATTGTTATACATGTATACATTTTATTTCATCATTTATAATCTCCTTATTTGATACGTTATTTATTGATTATTCTAATCATCATAGCTACTTATGTTCTGACCTTGCTTTCTTCTATGTAACCATTAATAAAATTCATTCCATGTTTCACAGTTTTTAGATTCTCCTTTGTTGTTTAATTCTAGAGTTATCTGATCCTGCACATGCCATCATTTTTCTTATCTCTGTTTCTGAAGGTATGTTTTCATTTTTCCAATATTGTGTATATATTGTTCTAGCCGTCGTCAATACATGTACTATTAGATACATTAAACCCTTCCTATATTTTTCTGATATTATTCCTAGGAGAAAAAAAAATCCAGTTTAAATGGAATACACTCTCCCACTATTTCTTCCCACTATATATTCAATGGACAATGTGACCAGTGACATCTTGGAGGGGGCGAAATTTTGCTCTTTTGATTAGATGAAAACCGCAGGAACTTTCAGAGTTGGTTTTCACCAACTATGTCGATATGATGTATCCAATAAACATGTTCTTTGAGGAATCTACCTGCCCCAGAATTCTGCTTTTGATGGGTGCATTGCTCAGAACGCTGACAAAGGCAATGATAGCTCTTATCATTAGAAATAAAAATTAAATACCCTCCCCCCCAAATAGTTCCTTCTACTACAACAGCAACTTAAAGCTGGCAAATTTGTGATTGTCTTTGAAGTGTAGCCTTCTCTGAGAAGCCTGGGCCATTTGCCACCCAAAATCGATAAGGAATTACAGAGGCCCAAGACGGGTGGTCCTCAACTTACAACACTTTGTTTAGTGGCTGTTCAAAATTACAATGACACTGAAAAAAAGGAACTTATGACCGTTTTTCATACTTACGATCTCCATGCTGACGTGATCAAAATTCAGACCCTTGGCAACTGACTCATATTTATGACCATGTTTGCCCTGTCCTGGGGTCATGTGATTATTTTCTTGCGATCTTCTGACAAGCAAAATCAACGGGGAAGCCAAATTCATTTAACAACCATGTTACTAACTTAACAACAGCAGAGATTCGCTTAACAAATGTGGTGAGAAAAATTGTAAAGTGGAGCATAACTCATTTAACCAATTTCTCACTTAGCAATGTAAGTTCTGGGCTCAACTGTAGTCATAAGTTGAGGACTACCCATACACATGGCGAGTACAAATGGCGTTTTGCCTTATGTAGCACATAGTGGAAAGGCCCAACTGGTACTTGTGACTTATAAATATGGCATGAGAGGTATGTACACAATTATTTCATGCTGTTGCAAGCAATTGCCATAAAATGATAGCTCAGTAAATTGGAAGAGATGTGATATAGAAAGAATGCAAAAATACACCTGGTTTTGCTCATTATTTGAGAAAGGGTGGTTTTTCTTATGTACAGGCAGTTCTATTTTTAACTTTGTTTTGAAAGGGTTGGGTCTGGAATGGCCTAATTTGTCTGGCTGTTTGTTTGCAAAGTAGCAAAGACCAGATCATTCCTTGGCTGCATTTATATTCCGCTTTGCCTTATTTTGCCAAAGTCACATTATGAAAGACACGAGTCTCAGGCCAGGACTCTGCTTAACAAACCATCCCTGTCAAAGAAATTCTGGGAAGGAAGGGAGGGAGGAAGAGAAAGAAGACAGGAAGGAAGGAAGGAAGGAAGGCATGAAGGATAGGGTGGGAGGGAA